GGGGGGGAATGAGCATCAATTCCCTTAATATCATATATCCTCTCCTTACCAGGATTTTAAAAAAATCTCACATACACAATACTGTTTTCATGCTCTTCATTGGATGTTTAAAATCTATGCTATTTGGTTGTGTCAAACATTTTGGTAGGTCTTTCTTTGGAAACTGGAATAATTTCCCTTAAACTTTCTCTTTAGCTAAAATTGTGATATGCTTGAGCATCTGGAAACCAATAATAACTGCTGCCTTTGGCCTGCCACACAAAGGGCACTTTGTGTTCTAAACCGAGCTCAGTGGATAAATGCTGGCTTTTGGTAATGTTGCTCAGCACAGTAGAATGTACTATGGAACTTTGCTGGGACCTGAATGTCAGGCAGCTTGTATGTGCTCATGATGGAGGCTAGGATGAGGTTCCTTGCAACAGCAGCAAGTTGTTTTGGGATCTGAGGGACTGGCTAAGACTTGGCAATGAACTTGGGACGAAGCTGTGAGGAACACAATATAGAGCCCAACTGAAGGCCTATGAGGTGGCAGTGAAAGCAGTGAAAAAAGATAATTTCACCACCTTCATTGGACCGCTAGCTTGCAGCCAGCTCAATTATTCAGATTGGTTCAACAGTTGACGTGTCCTAAAACTGATACCGATTTTGTCCTTTAGCTGTGATTCATTTGCAAAGTTTTTTGCTGATAAAATCTGTAAGCTCCTCCTGGATCTGGCCACTGAACTTAATAACAGTAGTGTGATGGGGGCTCTGCTTGCACTGTCAGGTTCTTTTTTGGACTCTTTTGGCCTGCTCACCCTTGCAAATGTTGACAGGATCCTGTCAGCTGTGAACCTGCTGCTTGGATCCTTGTCCCTCATGGCTGGTAAAATCATGCCATGAAGTGGTTAGTGGCCCTTTGAGACAGATTAATAATTTGTCTCACAGGGCTATTTCCCCAGCTCCCTTAAGGAGGTGATTGTTAGACCTTTGCTAACCTTTGCTTGTTAGATAAAAAAGGAGCTGGCCAGTTACCACGCAGTGTCTAATCTACCTTTTCTGGGGAAGGTAGTTGAGGGGCAGTGGCTGAGCAGCTCCAGATTATCCTGGATGAGACATCTGCCCTGGACCCTTTTCAATCAGGTTTCAGGCATGGCTTTGGGACCGAGACAGCTCTGGTTGCTTTGGCTGACAATCTCCATTTACATCTGGATAAAGGCATGCTGGCAGTGTTGATCTTTCTGGATCTATCAGCAGCTTTCGATATAGTTGACCATTTGGTCCTGATCAACTGCCTTGCCTCCCTGGGGGTAAAGGCCGTAGCTGGTTTTCCTCATTCCGCCAGGGATGCTCTTAGAGGGTTGCTATTGGGGAGGAAAGGTCTTCCTGATGAGACCTGAATTGTGGGGTCCCACAGGGTTCGATCTTCTCTGTGCTGTTATTTAACATATCTATGCACCGTCTTTTCAAGATTGTAAGGAGATTTGAAGTTGGGTGCCATCGATGTGCTGATGACACTGAACTCTTCCTTCTGCTGGATAAGCAGCCAACGGTAGGCTCTTGGCAGTATCCTAGTGCCTTGATGCAGTAGTCCAGTGGTTGGGATCTGACTGAAGTTGAATCCATCCAAGACGGTGGCCACGTGGCTGGAAAAGACTGAGATGTTAGGTGGAGGGTCACTCCCAAGATTCTGTGGTGTCCAGCTGACAGCTTTAGACTCTGTAAAGGGTCTCGGGATGTGGTTAGATTCTGAACTATCATTGGATAAACAAGTGTCCGTGGTAGTACAGTTGGTATTTTAGCTTACGCCAGGCCTGCCAGCTGGCTCCTTATTTGTCTGGGTCAGACCTTGCAACATTGATCCATGAAATGGTCACCTCCAGATTGGACTTCTGCACTTCGCTCTGCATAGGACAACCCTTGAAAATGCTTCGGAGACTGCAGGTGGTCCAGAATGCAGCTTCCTGGTTGCTGACTGGAACATCATGGTCAGATCATATTACTCCAATTTTGCAGCAGTTGCACTGGCTACCAGTTAGTCTCTGGATTCAATTCAAGGTGTTGGTGTTAACCTTTAAAGCCCTTAACAGTCTGGGGCCCTCATACCTATGGGACTACCTTGCTCCCTTCGGTCATAGTCTAGGGGCCTTTTACAAGTGCCTGGCCCCAGGATGGCTCAGTTAACTGTCACTGGGGAAAGGCCTTCTTAGTTGTGGCCCCTAGCCTGTGGAATGCACTCTCAGATGATATCTGTGTCCTGCCAGACTTGTTTAGTTTCGGCAGGGTATGCAAAGCCGAATTGTTTGATTTTGGGTTTTTTTAGTGGTATGGTGCTATTCACATATTTTAATAGTTTAATATATTAATATTAATATTTAATATTTGTTATTTGTTTTATATTGTTTTTACCTCATTATATGTTTTTAATGTTGTAAGTCACCGTGAGACCCTTTGGGTCAGTGGCGACTAAAAAAAATTTCTAATAAATAAATAAGACTATTCCTATGCTGCGTGGAAGCTAACTTGTGCCTTTACGTGCAGTCTGTTGTGCTTGGCCACATCCACGAAGATGAATGGCTGGGTTTCAAGCATGCTCTGCATGTCCGTCGTCCTCTTACTGCTGTTAAAGGGTGCCCTTACCCGGAAGAGCCAAGATCTCCATTGTGGAGGTAAAAGGAGCAAACTAAACCATCTACTAGTTATTTAATTAATTACACAGTAGTGGCCGTACTGAATATATGTCAGCACATTACAGATGTGTTGATTTTCCTAGTGCTATCTAACTTTCTGATTTCAGCAAGCACAGTTTTGATTTGATTGCTGAGGTCTCTGAGGCATTTCTAAAGGACACAGTGAATTCTAGATGTCATGGGAAGGTTGATAGTGGTGGGCAAGCTGGTGAAATTTATCTTCTATTTCTTGCTTTCTTATTGTAGATAACAGAACTATACATAACATGCAGATTATATTCATTACTTTGAAAACTGAACATAGCTGAGTTTCAGGCATGCTCTGCCCGTCCCTAAATGGTCTGTGACCATCATACCTGAAGGACCACTGTGATCCCCCACGTTGTCTCTGTTCTTCATCACACAATCTTTTAGTGGTACCCGGCTCTCAAGTGGCTCACCTACCAGAGTAAGGGTCTTCCTGGTCAAATGCTCTATCAGAGGACACAAATTGTATTTTACTTGTTATAAGCCACCCCAAGCCTCACATGTCAAGGGAGTGATGAGGTACAAATTTGATGAATAAATAAATAAGCTGTGGGAGCTGCAGTTCAAAGGTAGAAACTGACATGTGGGGGGAGGGGCAAAGGCCTATTTAACTCTCTTCCCTTTGCATTGTGTTCCACCAAAAATTGCCATTACCGTGTTGCTTTTGCCCCTGCTGGGGGGAACACATGCAGGTACCCACAAATCTGTGTAATTTCCCCCCTCACAGTTGGGGCAGAATCAGCTTGGAGGTGGCACTTTTCAGTGGGAAATGACACAAGAAAAATAGCACTGTTTTCCTTAAGTCAGTTTGTCTTTAGATCCTAGTCCCAGCAGCTGCATTTTGTTAAAAGGCAAAAATAATTGCTGGGTTTGTACAGTATGTGTACTTTTTGCCCTTAGTCCAGCCAGCAGAGGTTTGCCATCTGGACCCAGCATAGCACTTGCTCTTAAAATATGCTCCTTTATTATGTACCTTGCATCAGAATCTTCCACTGTATGCTTAAGGGGTGTGCATCTGTATGTTTTGCACTGTAATGGGGTGAGTGGCTGGGAGATTAATACTGGTAAATCTCTACCAAAGCACTTGTTGCTCTTCACTCTGAAGGAGGGGGTGAAAATGCCTCTTCCCTGCCTTTCAGCTGATGTACAAGAGAATCAATGGGAAGGACCAGCATCACTCAGTTCAAAATACAGCCCCTGTTA